GCTGTAATATTTGACCGCTTTTCAACCTTTTTACAAATTTCCACCACTTTTCAATCGACCATTTGAACTAACTACCTGTTCTAACTTTAAGCATGAAATTACGGCAAACAAAGCTACCACTGTGTCAGGAAACGCTAATTTGAACGCTGAAACCGATGAAATGCTTGACAAAGGATTGATGATAGTCAAATTCCACACGAAGGATGAGACTTATGACGAGGAAACAACAACTGTGCCAGGTAATGCAGCATATAATGTTTACATAAGTTTCTAAAAAACCGAAATTCTTCGTATTGATCATTATCAGACTCTGCTAATGTTTTAAACGGTTTTCTAACACAAGAATGAAAGTTACAAAATTCTTTAATAAAGTTTGAAAGAAACATTTCAAAAAACTGCCGAAAACCATTGATCAAGAGCTGTCGAGAAACCGCTTTTGATACTTTTATTCCGATAGTACCTAGCAAGACTACAGCGCTAAACAGAGACTCAGATCCAGAACCAACTGTCACAGAATACTGAATCCCTGTTAAACTGCGCAGATACTCCCACCAGGCTTTTTAGTTCTCTAACTTTACTAATTGCGCTGTCTTCTTGCATATTCGACGACACTTACTTTGTTTTTAGAACCAAAAGCAGTTATAGCTCAGGACGAAGAGCTAAAAAAAAGAAACGTTGGTAAAGTTGATTATCGGAAAGCTATAGTGAGCGAGAATAAGCTTCAGCCATCCACCGTAGAAACGCACGACGCTGAAGCGAAGGAGAACACTGAACAGAAACAAATTGATACGCACAATAGCCAGCGTATTGAGGACGATATTAAAACATTTGTAAGAGAATTTTAGATTGTACTATAAAAATTTAATAATTAAGTACCAAAAATCTTTTTCTAAGCTTCAACATTTGTATCTTCGAAGTATTCAAGATTTTAGCCTTTAATTTTTTGATATCAACATCATAGCGAATGAGTAAGTTGATTTTTTTAAAAACGAGAAAATTTTGCAAATATTAGTGGGAACATATTATTCAACAAAACATTTACAGAACGTTGCTTACGAGAACTTCAAACGTATTTCCAAAAAAATAAAACAGAAAGAAACATCAACATCTAAAAAGGTAAAACTCCTCCTAGTTATTTAGACTTTATCAGTAGCAGAAGTATTTATAATATTCTTAAATAACTTTTCATCATTTTGAGAGAGAAGAAAACTTTAGGATTTGAATGAACTGGAGGTAGAGACTTATAATGCTTTGCAAGAAACAGCTGCTTTAGCCGGACGAAACTGTACATTAAGTGATAGTAAGGAACTGGATCAACCGGAGTCAAGGAAAGGAGTTTTGCAATCTCTGCTAAAAATGATCCAAAAACTGTAAGAGCTGAAAAACTTTTGTATCTGTTTTTCCACGTTGCCTGGAAAGAAGCTCCGAAGAGCAACAGATTAGTTTCAGCTATTTGGCTGTGAAACGATTGTTAGAAAATGAAGAACGGCCAGCAGCTGAGAACTACAAATACGATGGTGACAAGAAAAGAAATCACACTGGTCTTGGTATGTTTTTAGGGAATCAAGATGATGTTTTTAAATCATTTAGCTGGTGTTTAACAACCATTAGTGTAATATTTTAATAATTTCAATCTAAAACTTTAAAAAAATTATTTAAATAAGTGAATACTTTAACTGACTAGCAGATAATTGTTTCAGACCACAAAGCACCATGTAGAGCTAATCTTATGCGTGATTTGACCAGCACCAAGAAAACTCAGATAGGTTTGTTTTGTTGCGCAATTCAGCTCCGTCTACAAAGACTTTCTTGCTTTATTCTAAAAAATAAAAATTTATTGTTGCGCAGGTATAGTGTTTCACGGTTTTCAGAAACTTCAACGGCTACCTCTACTACAGAAATGACGACGACATTGCCGCCTAGTGCCGTATCTTCCAATGAAGGTATTGATGCGGGTAGTGGGGAGGTGCCACAGGAGAACTCGCTCGATAACTATCATGTGGAAGCAGTTCCGCCCAACAAATCTGATTTCACTCAAGTGGTAAAAATCAAAACTTTAAGCTTTACTAAACAAAATGAGCTGGACGATCTTAACAATAACAAAATATAATCAACTTGACAATTAGAGAAAACTTCTAGGCAGCTGACTTAACCATCTTTTAGGCGCACGGGACAGTGTCACAGTGCGATAGATATTTGACATGCAGACATCAGGTTCGTGATCTAACATCAGTTTTTGAAAAAAAGAAAATATTTTTTTATTTTCTGAGTGGAAAATTGGAGAAAAATTGAGAGATTGGTATGCCGTAGAACTGAAGGTTACAGGACTTTACTGTGTACAGAAACAGCCAGTTCTTAAAAATCACTATTTAAGTTGTTCCGACAACTCGATCGATGCAGTATGTTAGCAGTAAGAAGGAATCGAGCCTTTGCCATTTCTACAGAATCGCTGCTACACCTCAGTCACCGTTGTAATATCAGTCAAAGTGCTAATTTTGGAAAGTTAAATGAAATTAATTCTGAAAATACGCGAAAACTTCGACACTGCTTAGAAGTAGCCGAAAAAGCCGATAATGTAAGATGCCACAACTTTTTTATTGCAGAAATTAACCCTGCTGCATATGCGATATTTGAAATTTATTTTCTAGTAAAAATGATTTTAGAATCAAGAATGTAGTTTAAAGAACAGTAATATTGATGAAAATTTAATGAAGAGTATTCATCACAAAGTTTATACCAATGAACGCGACTGTTATACTGACGTCAATTCACTACAGTTGGCTTGTGCAAGTCTTCGATCATGTTGTCCGTCGTTCCATCGGTGAATTTTGCCATCAGAGTTGTATAATTTTACATATTCAAAAAAAAAAAAACCAAAGTCAATTTGTCTTAGAACGAAAAAAAAAAAAAGAAGAAAGATACATTTTTTTGATGTTTTATGTTACTGTTGCTGTTTAGTTACTGTAGATACGCCAAGTAGATGAACATTTTCTTCTTTTTCTTGTTTACAGATGCCGTGAAGAGTCGTCATCGGCAGCAACAGAAAATGCTATACTGGAATTGACAGCAATATTGGCAAATGAAAATCAGGATTGTCTAGAAAAAAGTTTAAATGATATTGAAAATACAGAAAATGCTGATGTTTCTAAGAATCAAAATTACTCACGAGTACTTCTAGATTCTATTGTTTTGTAAGGGAACAAATCCTTTTTAATGTGTAATATATTAATGAAATAACTTGGAAGAAACCTCAGTTATGTTAACTTATATTCCAAAAACAAAAAAAAAAAAGAAAAAATTGTTACAAAATTCTGATAGCAGAATGTCGTTGTTTAGTGTTTGTTAGAATTTGAATTTTTTTTTCAACAATCTTATTTAACTTTTTTTTTTTCTTGAACTTATATTTTCATTCGTGCTTCGGTTATCGCATAGTTGTCTGCCTCACTGTTTTTGGTTTAATTTGTTAACATCTGAGCAGTTGATGTTTGCTGTTGAACTGTTGACAAGGATGATGGCTGTTAACAGTCCAAAAACGGGATTTTTTTTTTCTTATTTTTGTCTTCATTTTCTCCTTCTTTATTTTATTATTTTCCTATACATAATGATGGTAAATTGCACCATCTCTTTTCACAAACAACTTTTTTCTTTTTTTTTCTTCTTTTTTTTTTTTTTTGGATAGCTTTAACGCTATCATTTCACTGATGCAATTTGTATGGAACTATTAGAACTAGATTTGTTTGAAAGTTTCTTGTCACCATTCAGTTATGTTAAATGATTCATTGTTTAGACATGTTATTTTATTTTATTTTTTTTTCTTCTTCTTCTAAACGTATTACGGGTATTTCAGATAAAAACTTAAAAAACCTTACTACAATTTACATTCAATGTGACGAATTTTTTTTAAGGACACCAGAGAACTGAAACGGGCAACAACAAAAATTTTTTACAGTTTTTAAAGAAATTTCACTGAACAATCAATTGCTGCCATTCTTTATTTGCAACTTATACTTTGTGCTCCACACAACAACTGCCACCGCATACATTCCTACAAAATACTTCTTTTGAAAATAATACTGAACCTAAAACTTTAAGCTTTTTATAATTTACACTTAAAGTATCGCATTTTTTTCATCTTCTTAAGTAGAAAAAACTTTTCTGTTTTTGTTTTTTTTTTTTATTGTATTAGTTTTTACCAAAAAACAGAAAAGTAGAAATGATACAGTTTAATAACGATTTTTATAAGGTTTTACTGAGTGACCAGCTATTCGTATGTTTAAAAATGAGTATAGTTAGAAATGGCAAAAAAAAAAAAAAAAGAACAAGTTACAAAATCTTAACAGTGAAGTTCAATTGCTGTTCAAGAAAAAGTTAAATTATCACGGCAAACTATAAACTATAATCTAGTTGATTCAATTTCTAAAAAAAAAAAAACTTACCTGTCATCGATCAGTGATGAAACTAATGAATAGTTTCTTTTCACAAATAATGTACTGTTTTCTACTACGCATTTTTTCTACCGTTTTTAGGTAGAAAAAAAACTTTTAAACACTGAACATTTCAGTGGTTCAATGACAATTATTAGACTAAAATTATTTGGTTAAGTGTAGGCTGAATAATTACAGTGTAATCTACAAAAAAAGATTTTTTTTACAATTAATTCATTAAACAACAATTAATTCTGAACAATACTATTCTTCCTTCTTCTTTTGTGGTATGTTACTTTGTTGTAATCAAAAAAAGTTTCTTCAATTTTACTTTAATCTAATTATGTGTGAAGCAACTACAGTTTATTCTAAAAAAAAAAAAAAAAAAAAA